ACATCACAAGCAGATGAGGGCATTTTTAGAGGAAATAATTAAACGAAGATGACAATAAATCTTGGCTCAAATCTGTTAATCCTTTCAGTCTGTTTTCTTGGCATGTCCTCGGGGTTAATGGCAGACATATTTATTGTTGCAACATGTCCAGTGAAGGCTGATTCTTGGCCAGGTCCATCTGGTAGATAAATCTTCAAATGATGTTTTTGGTTCATTATCAGAAACTTCTTTTGAAAATTGCTTCAAATTTCCTTATTACACTTGCTCAAATGTAAATACAATAATATGGATTAGAAATGAAAAATAAACTAGTGGAGCGATATGATGTGGGTATCATAAACCCAAACCACATTTCAAACTTGTGTATTTTTAAACTGTCATTTGCAGTCAAGTATTCCAACAATCCAACATAGAAAAACTGTTATATCTTCCTTATTGAAACATCCTTGAATACTGACTTCCAGCACAAGTCAATACATCCCAGCATAAGTCAATATATCCCAGTACAAGTCAATACATCCCAGTACAAGTCAATACATTCCAGCACAAGTCAATACATTCCAGCACAAGTCAATACATCCCAGCACAAGTCAATACATTCCAGCACAAATCAATACATTCCAACACAAGTCAATACATCCCACCCTAACTCAACAAATCCCAGCCTAAATCAATACATCCCAATATAACTCAGCAAATCCCAGCCTAGATCAATACATCTCAGTTTAAATCATACATCCAGGCACATGTCAATACATAAAATCCCACACATCCGAACACAGGAAAAGTGAATGGTTGAGAAAGCAATAATTACATTTCTTGAGCATTATGCTCCTACAAATAGCAATAGCAGACTTTAACCTAAAAAATTCAGAATATTTTACATTAAAACAAATTCAACATATCCAAAGAATTGAAACTCCATTTCACCAACAGACTGACTGACTGAGTTTGGTTTCACGCCGCTTTTAGCAATATTCCAGCAATATCACGGCGGGGTACACCAGAAATGGGCTTCACACATTGTACCCATGTGGGGATTCAAACCCGGGACTTCGGCGTGACGAGCCAACGCTTTGACCACTAGGCTACCCCACCGCCCCCTTCACAAACAGAAGAATAGTCAAGGGTTTAAGCTGTATTGTTTGGGTTCACCTGGATTGATTGTGGCCCTGACAATTGTCAAACTGTTGGCAGTCAAGGGTTTGGACTGACATAGTGGGATTAGGACCCAACAACACAAAACAACACTTACAGCAGCAGCAGATGTTGTTTACATAAGACATTACACCGACACCTCACAATGTGCTGTTGCAGTAGACATATGGTAGGCTCTATACTTTGAACACCTGGTGCTATAAAACACACAATCACCTAATCAAGGGCGGGGTGTTACTACCTGATGTACTGCAATAAACATTCGGATTAACTACTCCTGTTTATACACCGGGAAATAAGTAACATGTTTATTGGTTGTTTGTAAACAAGTCCTTCAAACTGAGAAGATGTATAACAATTAACTAGACAACCAAATGACAATGAGTAAGTGAGTTTTGGGTAAAATACCTAACACTTCCTTTCACCATTCCACGACCTTCACTCCTACCTGTCCCATAGAACATAGTGTTGATTCAGCAGTGATCAGAAAACAATCTACCGGCACCCTCAGTACTTCTCATAACCCCCATCTGCATTCTACCCCACCCCACACAACAGTTAGTACCTTTTTATGAGTTGTTAAGATCATTTTGTTATTGAAAATTTGTAAAACAGTGAGTGAGGGAGTTTAGTCTTACGTGCTTTTAGCAATATCCCAGCAATATCACAGCTGGGAACACCAGAAATGGGCTACACACATTGTACCCATGAGAGAAATCGAACCCAGGCCTTAGGCGTAATGAGCGAACGCTTTAACCACTACCCCTTGTAACACAAGGAAAGGAAAGGACTTTGTTAAAAACATGAAATGTTAAAGTCTCCTGTATAGCTGTTCAATAAAACATCCCCAACTATGTAGTGGTGGTCTGATTAATTGAAATAATCGAAGATTGGTCGCAAAGAAACGACCAAGCAATCGATCATGTTTTCTCATAATCGAACACAATCAATTTTGGAACACTTGTTTGCAATAACAATATTTTTCACAAGGTTGGTTTTGTCTGTTAGATTTCATTAGCACTACAAGCTCTTCCAATTCATGATTGAATTTATTTTAAAGACTCCATGAAATTCATGTTCCTAACATGCTAGTCATCCTTTAAAGATGTGAAATTTGCAAATGCATTTTGTGCAATTTGCAAAGAAAACGAAAGAACTACATGTTTTTTTCTTTATCTTTTGTGCATTAACAAACATAACCAGGAAAATTTGATAAATGACGCTAACCAATTATTTTCGATGATTGATCGGTTGTAATGAACCAATCATCAATTATGAGATTGAAACCAATTCCCAACACTACAACTATGATTTCTTTGAGAGGCATTTTAGAAGTTGTGAAGATGAAGGAAAACTGATTTGTATGGATAGTCAACTTCTTTATTGCAATGAGTGCGATGATTGATGGTTGTGAAGGTACTAACACCAATTATCAAGCAAGTGATACAACAACTACAACTATGGTCAGAAGTCACCTCGGCGGAGACAAATAAACATTTCGACCCGCATCATTGGTAGTTATAATAATACGAAAACATCAACCTTAACTTGCCATAACTACACAACAAACTACACAGCACTGTGTAACCCAACATGCTGCTGATGGGGGTAGCCGTGTTGATTGTTCCCATTGTTCTAGGTGTGGGAGATTACAGGTGTGGTCACAGATCACTGCCAGGCAGGTATGGGGGTAATTAGTGGGTGTTGATCTCTGACACTTGCTGTGAGGGAGGGGGGCTTATCTAGTTGGGGAACAATCTGCCACTGGCACACTTCAGGAGTGTGGTGTGGTGTGGTGTGGTGTGGTGTGGTGTGGTGTGGTGTGGTGTGGTGTGGTGTTGTGTGGTGTGGTGTGGTGTGGTGTGGTGTGGTGTGGTGTGGTGTGGTGTGGTGTGGTGTGGTGTGGTGTGGTGATGGTATATTTTAAACATTCCTATGACTGGATCTCTCTGACTGATACATTTTATCTTTCTTCATCAAAGATTGATCTAGACCAGCTCAGTTGCCAACATTCAGTCCAAAATCTCCCCAAAAAAGGTCTTTGAAAAGTCCCAAATAATAAATTTTCATTCATTCAAACATTTGAATGCAATCACATACTGCAATGTGAATGGAATCACATACTGCAGTGTTAAAATACATCTAAAATGAAGAAAGTAAGAACATATAAAACAATGAACCTTGCTCCTGAATCAGATAAATGCACCCTGTGTAAGGAGGAATTCAGACTGGGGCCAATTAAACTGTAGACTGACACAAAATTACATACTACTAACTCCAATGGCCTGCTGTGAAAGGAGTTATTTACGCACATGTGAAAGTCAGCTATATAACCTTGTTTGAAACAGCCTTGACAACATTCTTCTGATTAATTAATCTCACATCCTGCAACCTTCACCACCCATATGCTCCATCTCTTAAAAAAAATCCATCAACAACTAATTTGCAAATTGATTAAACCGATTGAGAGAATCTGCTATAAATTCCATGAACAGCTTCCAATTTTCAGATTCCTCAAGATCTAACAAAGTCTGACCATATAACATGGATGAGATCACTTAATCCTATGACAGAGTATGACACAACACCAGACCTAGACGAGCAGACGCATGCCAGAAGCAGACGTCTGCTTTCATCCACAATCCACTCAATCAACAACTGGCTAAGATTGTTATTTTATTCCCTTTGCAAAGCCAGCCTGTTGCTGATTATTTGGCCACAATTGTATCAGATTGAGGTGCATCAGTATTTAGATGCCAACCCTTTACCCAGTCTAAGTGGTGAACACACTGTGTAATGGATCATGATTTGACAGAATGTACTTGAATCCAGACAAGAGGCTCTTCTCTGATCAGAATTGCATTTAACCTGTATATTCCTGCCAGAAGGGCTAGGAAATATTATGTAATGCAATAATGTTCAAAAGACACATTTTCTAATAATAAACTTGAGTACATTTATTACTTCAAAGTATATAAATTTTACAGATTTTAAAACTATAAAATGATTCAGACAGCTGATTCAATATCTATGTATCATTTATCATATTCGAAATATTGAAATAATATTTATTCATGTTTAAAGATTCAATTCTTCACACCTCCAAAAACCCTTGGGGAATTTTTGATCAAACCCCCAAACACTTGTTCACTCAACCTCCAAACCCTCATTGACTCCCCTCCCAAATACCCTAGTCCCTTAGTCCTAGCATACTTCTCCCCCAAAGTCCCTCAAACCCTTGTTTATTTCTCCCCCAAAGTCCCTCAAACCCTTGTTTACTTCTCCCAGAAAGGTCCTCCAAAGCCTTGTTCACATGTCCCATCAAACCAACTAAGTCTCTCCCTCCCACCCATGTCAAGGTATCCTTGGTTGTTACGGTGACATAACACTCGATTAATAGTCAACTGTTATCTACCAACAGTTTAATATTGACACTGACGGAGACATACTTATCTCCTGCTATCAACCTAACAATTACTTGTACACTCCATTGCATGGCCTGATGTAACATTTCCTCTCATATCTACTGGACATGTTTGTTGTGCTGTAACATTTAACAACACGATATGTCAGAGCTGTTCTTGGTCCACTTTGTATATCAGCTAACAATTCTTCAAGTATGGATCTGATTCAGAGAAACATTCCATACAGGAGACATCAATCCATATCATATCAAAGTCTTTGTCATCTCAGTGCCTCGCTCAAGATTGAGGGACAGTTCAAAATGTCCATTTGGTTGTTTATTACAAGCTGAGGTCTCTGGGAAATAATTAATATATAACATGTTCCTGCGTGAGATATATTTGTTGAGTTTCAATTGCCCAGCAAGGGATACAACCTACCTTTTTGTCTTCAGCAAATTTGAGCAGCTTTGAGTCCATGGCCATAAGGATGTCCTCCCATGCTTCAGACATCTGCTGGATTGTCGTCTGGAGGTACTGAGATAGAGGGGACACATTTTGACAATAACATTTACTGCAATAGAGTGGGGGCACATTTTGACAATAACATTTACTGCAATAGAGTGGGGCACATTTTGACAATAACATTACTGCAATAGAGTGGGGGCACATTTTGACAATAACATTTACTGCAATAGAGTGGGGGCACATTTTGACAATAACACTGCAATTGGGGGCACATTTTGACAATAACATTACTGCAATAGAGTACTGCAATAGAGGGGCACATTTTGACAATTACACTTACTGCAATAGAGTGGGGCCACATTTTGACAATAACATTTACTTGGGGGCACATTTTGGCACATTTTGACAATAGCATTTACTGCAATAGAGTGGGGCACATTTTGGCAATAGCATATACTGCAATAGAGTAAGGGGCAATAGACATTTTGACACTAACATACTACAATACAAAGGGGCAGATTTTGACAATAACATACTCCAAGAGAGTGGGGGCACATCTTGACAATAACATGTTCTGCAACAGAGTAAGTACATTTTGACAAAAACATACTGCAATACAAAGGGGGCAGATTTTGACAATAACATACTCCAAGAGAGTGGGGGCACATCTTGACAATAACATGTTCTGCAACAGAGAGGGGCAAATTTTGACAATAACATGTACTGCAAAAGAATGGGGCCACATTTTGACAATAACTTCTGCAAGAGTGCGGGCACATTTTGACAATAACATGATCTGCAACAGAGTTGGGGAAAAGTTTGACAATAACATGTTCTGCAACAGATTGGAAGCACATTTTGACCTCTTATAATAAGAACAGTTGCTGGGGCCTTGTATATTTCCCAGATTCTCCACAAGTCTAGTCAATACAGGAAGTGCTGCCATATATATTGTAACTGATGTGGTAAATTTGGTGAATAAGTTAATGTACTGGATGTCATATCAGCTTCAACCACTTACCCCCATCAGCGTGGCTATCTGTCCATACTTCAGGGCCAGTAGTCGAAGTTCCTTATGTCGCGATGCAAAGAGGGTAGTATCATACTGTCAAATATACACATGGAATATTGTCACAGTAATGTTAACAAAGCTTTGTTTCAATACATTTAACCAACATGACTTATCTACAATTAATATCATATTATATTATTATATCATCATATTAATAACTAAAACGTCATTAGTTTCCACTATTCAGGCTATATGATGGCAGAAACTAAATAATAGGTGAGTTGAAATTGGGTTTAACGTCGCGCTGGAGAATATTTTGCTCATATGACGATGTGCATGCGTGTGTATGTGTATGTGTGGCTGCTTGTACTAGCCCAGACTGAAGCTGGTTTTATAGTGCTAGCCCACTGAGATACCATGCCGCAGTGAAGCATGAATACCCCACTCAGACACAGTATACTGACTCCGAGCCGACCAGTCCTTGTTGTAACCATTAATGCCGAGCGCCAGGCAGGGACCAATAAGTACCCTGTTTTAACGTCTTTTGGTATGACGCGGTCAGGGATCGAACCCGCGACCTTCCGCTCTCTGGGCGGACGCTCTAACCACTACACCACGGAGGCTGTCAACTAAATAATACAGTCTGGACAAGGGTGCTGTTGTTCAAAACAACCTTAGTGCTAAGATCGCTTTGTACAACGGCACCCAGGTCATTAAGTGTTGATGTTGTGAGCATAAGTCCACATTGTTAAGTTACGACACCTGTCTATGAACCAAGTCACCAAGCCTGTACGCCAGATCCATTTGGTGCCTCGCTCCTGCCAGCATCGACATTGCTGTTGATCATTTCGAATCGGGCTTTTTTTTGTGAGTGTTTATTGTTCAACGCAGCACTTAGCAATATTTCAGCTATATGACGGCAGTCTGAAAATAATCGAGTCAGGACCAGACAATCCAGTGATCAACAGCATGAACATCAAAAACTACGCAACTGGGATACGATGATATGAAACCAATTCAGTGAGTCTGACCACCTGATCCCATAAGTAGCCTCTTACACATTGGGATTCAAATCATTAGACTTACAAGATTTAAAAAACATGCCCATTTTAATCCTAGAGACATAAAGGCACCTCACACGAAAAGTCAGCTCAGCGCTCATTCACATCATCAAAATGTCTGTTTCGATATTTTAGTTAAAATCACTAAATATTTCATACATCAGTTAATCAAAGTCATATTTTGTCCAGCAGTTCCCTTCTAGTTCATTGAGAAATACTGGCCTATGACTGCCATGGACAATAGGGTAAGAATGTATATGCAGACCGTGAGGAGATAGTAGTCGATATCATCGGACATCTCAAGGGTTGACTCCACAACCACCGACAGACAGTGCAGGTCCTGAGATAAGATGGCCGAGTGAACACGCCGATTCTGTTGAAAAGAAAAAAATGTTGAAAAGAAAATTCAACAGTCACACACGATACTAGCTCTTTGTTATATATTGATCTTTGAAACATGTTCCTCGGATCTACAATTGTCTAAAATGATTCAGTTCTCAGAAATTTGTCACTGTCTGTAAAAATCATGAGCATGGATAAGGTAACGTCAACAAAAGATAATAATCAAGTCGTATATGGGATTCAAACCCATGATAATAGGATGAAGAGATACAAGTCTGCACAGCAAATTGCAGCACTGTGAATGATTTGTCAGCCAGGCACCAGACTTGAAAATGAACAAAAATGTCTAAGTATATTTAGTATGTTCCATCATATGTTGCACTGAATTCAGATTTTCTTGGTAAACTGTGTTGCCTCAGACTGGTCCTCCCCCAATTATGGCATCCGAAGCTGGACAGTGTTCAGGATTATAATGAAACTGTCATCCTCACGTACCTGTGAGCCATCTTGTAGACTGATGGAGACGACGGCTGCATGGAAGATGCCGTAGACAAACATCTGAAGCTCATCACGATTTGTTCCCACAAGCAGCAAGTTCAACCTGTATCAGAACAAAACAACCAAAAGGCACCAGTAGACCACCAGATCTATCTATTGCTGAGTTTGGTGAAGAAATATTGAGGCGGTTTTAGAGTTCTGCTCGGAAAAAGCACTACCACCAATTTCAGTCAGTCAGAACTTGTTGCCATGGAAACACCAAAAATATTTTATTCAGAATTCCAAAACTACCAAAAGGCACCAGTACACCACCAAGATCTATCTATGTGCCAAGTTTGGTGATGAAATAGTGAACAGTTTTAAAGTTCTGCTCGGAGGAAAAGACAAATCTGTACACGGACATGCGGACGTGTATATAGAAAAGTGGAAGGAAGTATTGAAAGGTTTTGAAAGTTCTGCTCCAGAAAGGGCACTATCACCAATTTCAGTCTAAGTCAAACTTGTTGCCATGGAAACGCCAAAAATATTTTATTCAAATTCCAAAACTACCAAAAGGCACCAGTACACCACCAGATCTATCTATGTGCCAAGTTTGGTGAAGAAATAGTGAATGGTTTTAGAGTTCTGCTCCGGAAAGAGCACTACCACCAATTTCAGTCTAAGTCGAACTTATGTTGCCATGGAAGCGCCAAAAATATTTTATTCAGAATTCCAAAACTACCAAAAGGCACAAGTACACCACCAGATCTATCTATGTGCCAAGTTTGGTGAAGAAATAGTGAATGGTTTTAGAGTTCTGCTCGGAAAAGAGCACTACCACCAATTTCAGGCTAAGTCAAACTTGTTGCCATGGAAATGCCAAAATATTTTATTCAAATTCCAAAACTACCAAAAGGCACCAATAGACCACCAGATCTATCTATGTGCCAAGTTTGGTGAAGAAATATTGAGCGGTTTTAGAGTTCTGCTCGGAAAAAGCACTACCACCAATTTCAGTCTAAGTCGAACTTGTTGCCATGGAAACACCAAAAATATTTTATTCAAATTCCAAAACTACCAAAGGCACCAGTACCACCAGATCTATCTATGTGCCAAGTTTGGTGATGAAATAGTGAACAGTTTTAGAGTTCTGCTCCGGAAAAGACAAATGTGCACGGACAGGACAGACGGACGGAATCCATTTTAATACCCCCATACGCAGCGTTGCGGGGGATAAAATTCTGGAAAAGAATCTTATGATAGGTTCGGTGGTGAGTGAGTGGACAGTTTTGACGAGTCATAAACAGATGAACTCTCTCTTGACAACCCCAATCCATCCCCAAACAATTATTGACTTAGTTTCAAATAGTTTAGTGAGTGAGTATGGTTTTATGCAGCTTTTAGCAATATTCCAGCAATATCATGGCGGGGGACACCAGAAATGGGCTTCACACATTGTACCCATGTGGGGAATCGAACCCGGGTCTTCAGCATGACGAGCGGACACTTTAACCATTAGGCTACCCCACCACCCCTAAAAATCGTTTAAACAATGCAAGACGTTGATAATTATTGAAAACATCTTTCATCAATGAACTGGGATTTCTGTTTAAAGCCCATCACAACCAGATCATGCATCAATGTTTATAATGAGAACATCAGATCATATCGCATCACCATACATCACAACCTGACTTTACTCTGGTCGCCATCACAACCAGATCATACATCTCTGCCATCACAACCAGATGTACATCACCTGGTCGCCATCACAACCAGATCATACATCACATATGTCTATTATCATCATCACAACCAGATCATACATCACCTGGTCACATACATCACTGGTCGCCATCACAACCAGATCATACATCTCCTGGTTGCCATCCACAACCAGATCATACATCACCTGGTCGCCATCACACAACCAGATCATACATCACCTGGTAGCCATCACAACCAGATCATACATCACCTGGTCGCCATCACAACCAGATCATACATCACCTCCAGATCATACATCACAACCAGATCATACATCACATACCAGATTATACATCTCCTGGTCAGCCATCACAACCAGATCATACATCACCTGGTCGACCATCACAACCAGATCATACATCACCTGGTTGCCATCACAACCAGATCATACATCACAACCAGATCATACATCTCCTGGTCACCATCACAACCAGATTATACATCAGATGGCCATACCAGATCACCTGGTCGCCATCACAACCAGATCATACATCACCTGGTTGCCATCACAACCAGATCATACATCACAACCAGATCATACATCTCCTGGTCACCATCACAACCAGATTATACATCTCCTGGTGGCCATCACAACCAGATCATACATCACCTGGTCGCCATCACAACCAGATCATACATCACCTGGTTGCCATCACAACCAGATCATACATCACAACCAGATCATACATCTCCTGGTCACCATCACAACCAGATTATACATCTCCTGGTGGCCATCACAACCAGATCATACATCTCCTGGTCGCCATCACAACCAGATCATACATCACAACCAGATCATACATCTCCTGGTCGCCATCACAACCAGATCATACATCACCTGGTCGCCATCACAACCAGATCATACATCACCTGGTCGCCATCACAACCAGATCATACATCACCCTGGTAGCCATCACAACCAGATCATACATCACCTGGTCGCCATCACAACCAGATCATACATCACCTGGTAGCCATCACAACCAGATCATACATCACCTACATCACCTGATAAGCCATCACAACCAGATCATACATCACCTGGTCGCCATCACAACCAGATCATACATCACCTGGTCGCCATCACAACCAGATCATACATCACCTGGTCGCCATCACAACCAGATCATACATCACCTGGTAGCCATCACAACCAGATCATACATCACCTGGTCGCCATCACAACCAGATCATACATCACCTGGTCGCCATCACAACCAGATCATACATCACCTGGTAGCCATCACAACCAGATCATACATCACCTGGTCGCCATCACAACCAGATCATACATCACCTGGTCAGCCATCACAACCAGATCATACATCACCTGGTCGCCATCACAACCAGATCATACATCACCTGGTCGCCATCACAACCAGATCATACATCACCTGGTCGCCATCACAACCAGATCATACATCACCTGGTCGCCATCACAACCAGATCATACATCACCTGATCGCCATCACAACCAGATCATCACATCACCTGGTAAGCCATCACAACCAGATCATACATCACCTGGTCGCCATCACAACCAGATCATACATCACCTGGTCGCCATCACAACCAGATCATACATCACCTGGTCGCCATCACAACCAGATCATACATCACCTGGTCGCCATCACAACCAGATCATACATCACCTGGTCGCCATCACAACCAGATCATACATCACCTGGTCGCCATCACAACCAGATCATACATTCAAATATTAATGTTTGCTTGTATGTTTGTTTGTTGTTTCACATCACACTCAGCAATATTTACCTGTTTGGCAACGGTCTGTTAAGTATCAAACAAGAAGAAAGACAAGGCCACCATTGATATCATAACAGATAAATGTACTTACTGTTGTCCTTTAGATAATGTCCCATAGCTGAAAAATATTACACTTGCAATATTATTGCTGATCAAAATCTTGCCAATACTCATGAAGGAATTATAAATGAATTCATTTAACCAATCCACACTGGAGCTGCTTTTCAAACCAATAGACAAGTAACCGGGGCTTTCATTCCCACACAGAATACACATTGAGAAATTTACAAAGTATGCAGATTACATTAATTCCATTGCCTATTAAAACGACATTCTGTAATACAAGGATATTGACATATATGATATCAAAAGACCAATGAGAATCTCAGCAATGTTGTAGCAATGTTGCAGCAATGTTATACTGCAACTTAAATTACATTTGTGATGTCATTCCATTGTCTGCTCACTCCATTATTTTTTAGGAAGGGAGCAATGTGTACCATTTTCAAATGTAAGACTTTGATGGTTCATTTCATTTTGACATTCTGACATTTAATTTTGATAACAGAAACATTACCAATACTTTGAATGTAATTTAGTAGAGTAATATCCGCATAACTCTCCATTCCTTAAATATAATGGGCCTCGGCTCCATTATTTGTAAGAAACGGAGAGTTACTCGGACATTACCCTCTACTGTATGCATCACCTTTTGTTGAGAGGTTGTAATTTGGGCAGGTAATCTGCAGAGCTGTCCTCGGGGTAGGGTTCCGCTGTCCATTCTGCTCCGTCTGTAAACACCTGTGATATCCAGGTCATGCTAGTTACCTCCCCTTCCACCGTCATCGTGTGAAGGACTTCTGCGTTCTCCACGTCACACAGCTTGAGCTGGCCAGACTTGTAGCCAACTGCCAACACTGCAAACACAGACTCCAGTGTAACATCACACCAAGTCTAAGTGATCATCCAAAACAGATATACTGATACTTTGAAAGACATCTTTGAAGTTTTTAACCGGGAATCCTCGTATTTAAGCACTGTCATTATTAAGCCCATGGGTTTAATAACGAGATTTGATTTTCGAATTTAGCCCATGATTTCAACGCAACAGTTCAAATTTTAAAAGAGTTCTCCCAAATTATAATAGTTATGATGAAAAGATGATTAAATTTGTTCATGGAATAAAATTCGTACCATTAAAAGTTTTGTTGTATTTGACCTCCTCTCGAATTTAAGCGCCAGGCTTAATTTCAGAAAAATGTTTCTTAGATGAAATGGGTCAAATTCAAAATTAAGCCCAGGGCTTAAATACGAGGATTCCCGGTAATTTTCAGCAACATGGCCACAAAAATTTTGTTTGTTTGGTATTTAACGTCACACACAGCAATATTCCAGCTATATGGCGGCGGTCTGTACATAATCGGGTCTGGACCAGACAATCAAGTGATCAACATCATGGGCATCGATCCATCTTTGGGATACAATGACATGTCAACCAAGTCAGCGAACCTGACCACCTGATTCCGTTAGTCGCCTCTAATGACAAGCATGGGTTAATGAAGACCACATGTCTGAGGCAGCTCAACATAAAAAAAAATCGTTCAGCATCATGCCGACAGTCCTTATCACACATACTCCAGAAGGAGCTGAGAATACTTCAAAAAGCCACCCCCAACATCTCCCATGCACACATGTGGCTACATATATTTTTATGGTTTGATTATACTAATAACATTTCAGGTCTGACCTTTGCCATCTGGTCTCCATGCAAGTCCTCCAATTGTCTCCCCCTCACCAGGGGGCGCTAATGTCCACACTTTCTGCCATGACAGGCGATGCAGAATCACCTGAACAGAAAAACATTTTCATAAAGAATCTGATAAATCAGACCTTCACTAGAAATATTGTGACATAAACAAGCTCCTTAAGGTTACATGTGTACACAGTAACAAGTTATCAAAATTCCATCAGTATTGGTTCAAAAAATATTTTCAGGGACACATCTGCTTACCTCCCCTTGGATATTAGCAAGTGCCACCAGGTCAATGCGAGGAGACCAAACCATGTGACAGATCTCGTTAGACACATGCTTCTCATCTACCTGACGAAAAGCCTCTTCAGACATCTTCTAATGATTTAATGATCTGAAATAAATAAAGATTGGTATGGAATAGACATAGGACTTGGATCTATAGATGACCGTCCAATCAAACGTGAGACAAGCATCTACACCGAGGCGACACCATGTGGCAGATCTTGTTAGACACATACTTTACATCTACAAAAGACAAAAAGCTTTTTCAGACATCTTGTAATGACTTATTAACATGAAAGAAAAGACTGTATAAAATTGAAGCTATTTAGATCTATGTCAGTCTTTTTTCCATGGCAGGTAACTACTTCACACAGTAGCATTCGATAGCATTGTCATGGTAACAATTCCTGCAGTGATATGTCGTGTTTGCATCCAGGAAAGATGCAGCTCATTATCACTCTGTCCATTGGCCTTGAATTCCTAATTCCATCTGCACTGCACTGCACTGCACTGCACTGCACACCCATTACTGATTTTAGAGTAAGGGTTGTGATATATGTACAAATTCTAATGTCTTCTTTATCAAATTCTTATTCTTTATAAATCACATTTGTGTGAGATTCATGATTACATCAATCCTAAACAGGAGATCTGCTACAGCACTCACAATCCACCAGTCTGGATTGGACGTGTACCTATATTGTTCATATATCCAGGATTCCAAATTAAGTAATCATGTCCATAATGCAAGGGACTAAAAATGTCATTTAAGTGAGGTAGGGTAGCCTAGAGGTTAAAGTGTTCATTCATCACACCAAAGACCTGTGTTCGATTCCCCACATGGGTACAATGTGTGAAGCCCATTTCTGGTGTCCCCCGCCGTGATATTGCTGGAATATTGCTAAAAGAGGCGTAAAACCAAACTCACTCACTTCTTGTGCCCTACACAGTAATCTTGTTGGAATGTTGCTAAAAGCAACTAAAGCTGAATTAAATCGCATGTTCCTCTACACAATCATGCATGTACCTCAATACAATTTGTGAAAATTAATGTCTTGACACAGTGCATCATTCAAAGCATCTCAGAAGTTTTTTGTTTTCCAAATGAAATGTAAATATTTGTGACAATTATTTTTTCTTCCTCGTGTTACTGGAAATTCAATTCCAAAACACATAACAGAATTAATAGCATGTAGGCAAACCTTGGATTAACGCTAAACTGCTACAACCTACACCAAAGCTTGTTTGAAACACAAATTCACAAGAATTTTAACCATTAATACCATGGTATTGTTTTAATATTAATAAGTGTCTACAATCCTCTTCCCAAAAGGCTGAAATCTCTTGGTAATTGTACCACCAATATTTGCATAGAGAGTATGGTTCAACTCCAAAATTTAGCAACATTCCAGCAATATGATACAAAAGATACCAAGAAAAGGTTTAACATTTGTCCAGACAATATGCACCAATGCATGTGTGTAGTAGAACAAGCAAACACTATATTTATGATAAATACAGTATACATAACTATGACTATTATGTAGACATTGCATTTTCTGTAAAATATATTCAATATAAAGACTAAATGTTAGTCTACATTATTCTGTGAAGTTACACTTACCATTTTCTAAACAAAATTTTTTATTCAAACCAAACCATTATTTCATTCGAAACAAATTTATATCAAACTGTCCAGAATTATATTTCATCATTAATGAAACACTTCAGTTTGAGACTAAAGAATGCACCAAGCTTCTGCACAATGCCAATATTTCACAAGCATCATCACCCATGGCAATCAGAGGACAGCAGGAACACTCCCTGTGACTATGGACAACAAATCTACCATGTCCAGACCAATCTATCTCTCCTTACTGTATCAGCATAATGGCTATTTGTATTCAGCTATGTACCAATATTGCATTGAAAGTGAAAGTGTCCTTTATGTCCGACTCAGCCTGCACTGTGATGTGACTGAATCCGGAGATGAATGGCCATTAACACTCAGATTAAAACAGTCAGGGAACAGAAAGCATTTATCACCAGTGTGGTTTAATTGCTGTAAATGTTCAGAATGTGTTACCCTCCATTTCCACTAAACAGATGGGGTAGTGTGGACATATGTTCCCCTTAGTCATCTCTACACTGAGTGAGTGAGTGAGGTCACGGCAATTTCTGATCGTATCGGGTGAACCGGTTCGCAAAAAGTGTACCACAATAGATCATATTGTGAAGTTCGAATTGCAATAAACCGGTTAACAGTATTATCGCCCACCCCTAATTACATATGTAAATCTTTTCATGTGAAGTTTGTATACCCGTAAAGAAAACTTTACAAACATTATAACTTTGTAAGCCAAGTTATCATTAAATTGAACACTTTGGACAAAGCACATTACTCCAGATTTACAAATAAACGTTTCACTCAAAATACATTCACAGTAAAATTATTTACCAGTAGGTATTTAATTCAAAGTAGTCTCTTCCAAAGTCGGTTTTAAAGTGACTCCTACCAGATTAACTCAACACGACAAAAAAATGGGAAAGATGGTCTCTTAAATCAATGTATTTTCATTCATAACAAAGTTGGTTGCTTTAACTATTAAATGGGGTCTGCACTGAACAGCACCCTCCATTTATTTCCAAACAATTTTAAATGCTAGTCCATAAACTACACTGAATCTAATGACAATAAACTTGACACTATCACGAAAGTGGATTCCAAAATGTGGGGAAAATGACAAAATGTCCTCCATTTGCATTCAGTGGCCTGCCAATAAAAACAAATAACTGTTACCTTTCTCACATAAAATGACCATCTCCGACAAAATGTTCCAACATTTAGATTGACTCAAACTGATCCTATAAAGTACAACCTCATTAGGAACGTATAGAGCAAGAATTACAAACAGTTATCATGTTCAACATCTTAAAGAGACCCATTTTGAATCATCATTTTTATCAGAACAACCAACAATGGCCAATAATGGCATAGGATTTAGCTCTAATGGTCTCCAAGTTGGGATGATTTCAAACGGTTAGTCCAACGACATTACAACCACTATCATGCTTGAATCAAAACCAGACATTCTTATCTACCTTCTCCAAACACATCACAGAAAACAGAAATGAAAAGGCTTCATAATAGAAGGCAGAAAATCAGGAAGTTCTATTCACTTCATTAAAAGCCCTCGATTGCTTTGATGACCAAAGGGGAGAGATTTTACAGCCATGGTCACATGACTGGGAGGAGCTGGGCTTAATCCTAGTCAGTTCTGCACCTCTTTGATCAGCTGATGTAATGGTCACTATCTGGTCCTGATTTCAAACACTGCTCTCTTTTCAATGGGCTATTATTTTCTCCCAAATGGATGACAAAAATAAGCTGGCATCATAAACATTTATGTCCTGTGTTAAGCTAGAGCTGGTCAGTGTTAGAGTCAGGTTGCACAATCTTATGTCCGGTTTATTGGTTTATAGAGGGCAGGGAGTGGATGACCAACACTTTCCCAGTTTGTCCAGTTTGTAATTCACAGTTGGAAAAGTGGTAAAAGTCATGAAATGACATTCGGCAAAGAAACATCAGCTGATTTGCTACCTGATCACATAAACTTAAACGCCAGCGAGCAGATTACGTAACTTGAATGAGTGGGAGCTAATATTGAGTTTCAGAGAAGGATGGAGCTTATGTCCATGACTGTAGATGCAGGGAAATAAATATACATCATTAGAGTAACTGGTCTCCATAAAACATTTATGTGAAGCTACTAAAATGTACAGTTAATTAACAGTCATCTGGCTCTCATTCAGGCTGAGCAGTTCTCGGACAAGAATATTGCAGGAAGTTTCGTAATCAAAATAGATTGTATTATGATAAAACTTGGGATTTCAATAAGAATATATCTTTCAGAAAAATGCCAAAAATGGTAAGAGTTCTGTGAAACAAATTGTTCTTCATAAAATAATTCATTACAATTAATTAAATCTTCTTCAATCCTTCACAAACGTGAAGGATTCCTTTTTATTTATACAATTTAGTTTCTAAATAAACTGTTCAAGTTATGAAAAATTACATTTCTATTACATCAAATACACATATCATGAAGTTGGATATAACTGAGGAACTGCAAATGTATTATAGGGAGGGTAGGATTATGGAAATATTACATAAATCCAAGGGGTAAAATATTATAGTCCTCAGACTAATCTCCCTTCCCTTAATAAATGAACGCTTCATTACCTGACTATTTACTCTTTATCTGGAACAGTGAAGACTTGTCACACACCTCATAAAGGAGGGCTTAAATCTTTGACCTCTGCAGATAAAATGTTGGATATTTCACAAATTACATAAAACTTTTTCACTAACACTACGCAAGAGGGAAAAATGCCCAAAATGTGTGAAAACCACTAAAAGTGAGGAATACCTGAGAGTCGGTGACAAAAGTCATTCAATCTGTCAAACATTTGTGTTATACAATTTCCTGCAGACAATTGTTGGGTGAAATACCTAACACTTCCTTTCACCATTCCATGACCCTCGCTCCAACCTGTCCTATAGAACATAGTGTTGATTCAGCAGTGATCAGAAAACAATCCACCCTCAGTACTTCCCACAACCCCCATCTGCATTCTACCCCACACCCACAGAACTCACTGTTGATGAAGTAATCTACCCCCAGCATACATCAGAGTGAGTGAGTGAGTGAGTGAGTGAGTGAGTGAGTGAGTGAGTGAGTGAGTGAGTGAGTGAGTGAGTGAGTGAGTGAGTGAGTGAGTGAGTGAGTGAGTGAGTGAGTGAGTGAGTGAGTGAGTGAGTGAGTGAGTGAGTGAGTGAGTGAGTGAGTGAGTGAACAAGCGCATGCGCGCGTGAGTGAGTTGGGTTTTAGCAATATTCCAGCAATATCACAGTTGGAAAGACAAAAAAAGGGTGGGGAATCAAACATGGGCCTTTAGCATAACAAGTAAACACCTTAAACACTGGGCTGGGTTTTGAGTGAGTAAGTGAGCAAGGAAGCCTTTGTGCATGTGGAAGTGAGTGGAGTGGTTTGGGTGAGTCAAGGTTCAACACTGTTAAAGCACTTTTCAAGCAATTTCACACTAATC